CCACGCCGCCGGCGCGCCCTCCTGCGGCCACGGCCCCAGCGCGCCCTCGCCGTCCGCCCCCGCCCCCTCCGCCTCCCCCTCCTCCTCCTCCTCGCCCGGGTCGTTCTCGTCCGGCGCAGGCGGAGCCGAGCTCTGCAACAGACGCAGACCGGAGTACCTCAGGAGAAAGGTGGATTCATTGACGTTCCTATCAACTGCTTTGATTGTAATTATATCGAAATCATTCATCTTAAGTAGTTGATCACAAGCATATTGAATGTTTTATCGCGAGTTGTGGAGGTGTTCCTCCCCCGATGTATGGGGAGTTTCGGCGCTGACCCACACTTGAGGGGAACATCCCCCCTCTGGGTACATCCCCTAGTGGGGTACAACCCCAGCAGAAACAAGCTATACGAACCTGATGACTGGTCGACCGACATGTGTGGTGTAAGTGTGGGGGATAGGATGGGGCAAGGAAGGCGGGATAAATCTCGTGCGGTCCGTGCACCGTTTGTTACGGTACTGGTTCGGCATTCGCCTGGAATTCATCGAAAAAACGGTAAACTACCAATCAGAGCAGTCGGTCGCTAGAATTCTCCTCCAGCAGAGGCTGAATTTAGCTTGCTGCCTCACCAAACATCACATGACTTCTAAAAAACTTTGTTCAACAACCATACCCAAAGTATAACAATTTATAATAAAGATCCAGTACTTTGTCAATCAAATATCATTGGCAAATAATAGGACATGTCGGTAGCTTTGACAATTGACGCAACAAAAAATATGATGAAAAAACTAATATGATAGCAAATTGATTTAACACTAGGACAAAATGATATCTCGATGACACGATTTGTCGTGACTTGTAAGCACAGAATGCGAAAAAGCACGAGTTACTACAGTCAAAACTAATCAAAAGAAGGCAAAAATAGAAAACATAAAAACACAATTATTCGTGGAAGCATCCGAGATACAAATCTTCAAACAAGAAGAGAGAAGAATAATAGACAATGAAAGAAACAAGGAAATGTGTAAAGCAATTCCTCACATAAAATTTAAAGGGCTGGGTGAAGAGAAGGAGAAATGTTTGCTTCCCGATTGCAGAAATCGCAAGGTACAGAATGGTCAGAAACTATTCTTCGGAAGAAGGGTACAGAAAAGATGTATAACGAATGATGATTTTGTTCAGAATAGATCACAGACCTATCGTGATAATGAAGAAGAAACTATTGGTAATAAAACACGTACATTGTCGCCGGTATTTTCCACGCAAAAAAAATTACTCAAATTTTCGAAAAGTTGTACAAGACCTTTTTTTAAAATATATCTTTAAAGAACAGATTTCATTAAGGGGAAAATCTCTATTTTTAATATTACAGTTGTAGAAACACTCCGAAAAAAAAATTTTTGCAATTTTCTAAAAATTAGCATTTTTAAGGAACATTAGACCATCACTATTTTCTTAAACGTCGTTCACACAATCCAGCAACGAAATTTATTAAAAAAACAATGGATCCATTTCTTTTATTTCGAAAACGTGTCAGGGGCTTTATGTAAAGTTGTCCGCAAAAATAAAATATCATTTGAATTTTCAGCGGCCGCAACATCAGCCAGATCGATTGAGTAATATCAATTTTTGAGAAAATCTGGTGAACGGTTTAGCCGCTAGCGTTGTTCACAGACGGACGAAAAGACAGACGTTATGCCGTCATTCGATTTTTCGGTATGAAGGTCCCACAAAACGGATTCTGGCAACACCGCGTCATAGAGGATTTTTTTTCTACATTTAGCAACTGGATTTATCCACTTTTTCGTTACCAGGGCCCTGTAATAAGAAGTTTTCTGTTCAAAATTCGCCGTTTTTTCGCCCAGCATTACATTACTTTTCATCTACTCCGTAGCGAGAAAATAAAAATTAGGAGCGACCTTGACGCCGTCTTCCGGCAGGACGCTCTGCGACCTACAGACGACATACGAGAGACCAACAGTATTCTTGAAATCATAAAAAGTTTCGTATTTGCTTTCCCGTGCTCAGTCACGAACTCTTTCGCGCAGTGAGTCGTTAGGGGTCTCAATGCAACAAAAGGTATTTAACATTTTAGGTAAGATTTATGAGTAACATGAACGGCTAACGGTGTGCAGTTCGACTATTTGTGGACCTGCAACAAAATATGTAGAATTTTATATTATTTGAATGAACGTTAATTAGCTTCGTCGCTCTCCATCTTGTCATCTAGGAATAGATCTGCGACCAAAGGCCAACAGACGTACTATTACGAAGATAATGTTACAATGACCGAATCCCAGTTTAATGATCGATATCGACATTTCGCCTGCGAATTGTCGCCAGGGCCATTCTCATGAGAACTGTTCGGCGTGCGCTGGTCTATTCCTATGCAAAGTTATCAAGCTATGATTCGGTTCAAATGAACGGCGTTCGCTTACTCAGATCTCACTGCCGGCTGGTCTCACTCTGACGACAAGTCCGTCTTTATAGAGGAAAATATATAAGATTTATTAGATATGCCGTAATTAGTGTTAATTAGGCATCAGGATTGCCTGCAAACAATAAATATTGTTAGAATATTTCATGATTACCGAATGAAAGTTCACAGACGATTGATTCTAATGATCTTTTGGGTTGCTCGTAGATCATATAATACCACTATCTTGCTTGAACTTTCTGGTTGGATGTTGCAGCCTGTTTACTATGCTGAGAATGGAATTCCATAATAATATTGTCATCGAAGAATTCTGTTCAAGTGTTGATTCCGGTCGTAAGTTATCAACTAAGGAAATTAGAAACACAAGTCGCGCGTCTCTCTTTCAACTCAACATACTCCGACGGTGAGTTCGGTGTTGTAGAGAACATATCAGATGTATCACACATGCCTAACTCAGTGTTAAGTGGGCACAACATATGTACATATTTCATGCACCAGTCTTCCAAAACCTGTTAGTGGAATAAATAAACAGCAAACCGTTGTGGATTAAAACCACACAAATTGATTTCCGAGTAGTGACTGCCTATCGAAACCATATACACCTATCGAATGGCCGTACGGCTTCATACTTTTCATCTCTGACAACTGATAGAGAGAAAGCGAGAGAGAGAGAGAGAGAGAGAGAGAGAGAGAGAGAGAGAGAGAGAGAGAGAGAGAGAAAGAGCGAGAGAGAGAGAAAGAGAGCGAGAGAGAGAAAGCGAGCAAGAGAGAGAAAGCGAGCGAGAGAGAGAAAGCGAGAGAGAGAGAGAGAAAACGAGAGAAAGAGAGCGACAGATTTTAACGAGATTCCTGTATTACTACGAATTGTAGATGCAAATGAGCACGAGAGAGAGGGGCGGGAGGGGGAGGGGGAAAGGGAGAGTCGATAACGCTGTTCAGGCATTTCGTTTACTCAATGGACGGGGTCAGCTGAGGTAAGATGCTGCAGCTTTGGTAAATTCTCAGGCAAGATATTATTTCTAGTCTCTTCCGCGACTGTTATTTAGTGAGAAAGAAAGACAAAAGTCAAATTGAAGTTATAGAATAGTTTCACTCATTCGATATTTCAGGCTTCAGAAGAAACATCAGAGATATTTTAGACTACTTAACAATGCAAAGCCAGAACGTTTTGACAGCCAGAACGTTTTTCTACAGCACACATCTAATAATGATAAACTTTATTTAAAAGAATGACGGTCTGTCGAGATTTAAAGAATGAGATGGCGCAAACGCTAGAGCTAGGCTTCCATCTCATAAATATGGCAGAGCTTCATTGGGAGGACCCTGAATAGTAAGAAAGAGTAGCATGTTGTCAGATGAAAGTGGTGAAACCAGGATTTGTGTAGGGAGTCGGAGCAGATGTAGTGCTTGATGTTCTCTTAAAAAAGTATTAATTTCTATTGATTTAAAATTTGATTTCAATCTGTTGTTTTATAGCTACTTATAACGTTCAGCTGAATGATTTTCGTTACTGTACAAAATTAGCAAAAACGATACTTGTGAGTACGTGTCATCGGCTTCTGGGGGGGGGAGGAGCCCAATGAAAACCATGGAGGCGCCACATTCACGTCGGAAAATGACTTCGCGCCGCACGCCCTGCCAAAGATTTTCTCGTTGATAAGAAGATAGAATTGATGACATGGGAAACAATTTTACCGTCAACACGAAGTGTAAGCAAGACTGCAACGAGCACACACTGCTCGCCGTTTCTTCTCCACAATTTCGGTCTAGTTCAGAGAAAAAAGCTGAAGATGTTTAACGCAACGTCGTAGGCAGCAAAAATTACTTTTAACGAGATTCCTGTTTCACTACGAATTGTAGATGCAAATGAGCACGAGTGATTTTAAGGAAGACGGAAACGAACAAATTTCAAAAAAAGTCAGGAAACTCCAGAAGGATTCAATGTGTGTTCAGTGTTATTCTCGTGACAATTTCTAAGTAAAAGACATTCCTTAATAAATGAAAATATTAATATTTTTATCACATTGCGCTCAACCATGATGTAAAATATGTTATTTAGTTTATGAATTAAATGATGAAATTGGTCAACTTTTCGTCTACAGTTCTCAAACGTTACGACGTAGCATTAACTCTTATCTCTTTTCCACACACGTGATCACTAGAATCATGTAATAATAAATTCGAAAAAAAATATCACCAGAGCATACGTTTAAAATTAATTTCCTATCTTTGAAGAATTTTCTGAAAGAACGTTGATTTTAATTCTTATTTTAAAAAATGTAGCTGACAGAAATGAACTCGAGAATTTTCTTGTTTTGTTTAGTGTGTGAAGTTAAGCAAAAGACGTATCATCTGACAAAAATTGTATAATATGTGATTCCTAGAAATAAAACGTTTAAAAAAAAGAAACATGAAGTATACACCATTTAAAAATGTCGTCATGAACAGAAATCTGATGATTTGTAAATTTAGTTTTGTAATTTCATATCACTGCTTTTAATGTGTTTGCCAATAAACTTGGTAAGTAATATGGTAATGAGTTCAGATATAAAAATGTATAATATGATTTTTTCTTACATTTGATGTTGGAATCACGTTCAGTTTCGTGTCTGCAATCAGCTTTTCTCTGACCCTCGAAAATCTCTCTGGAACTATTACATTTCCTCCAGTTGTCTTCGCAATCATACACAAGATGAGTGCAGGAATAAGAACAAACATTGTGACGGATTTTATGGGATAGGTTTTCTCAGATGTACCAAAATCTTCCAAGTAATGTCTGTTGATATGATACATCAAACGATTTTGATGGCCTTCGTCAATAAAAACGTTTTTCCATTATTTTCATTATGTTTTCACTACGCCTATTGAGCTACGATGTTGTTTCTTAGGGTGTCTGTACAGTTTCCTCTTCTATTGTCGATGGAACTTTTTAGAAGCTTGCATTCTTTCACGAAATTCTCTTAAAAATGATGCACACAATTTATTAATTCCATAATATATATTCCATTAGTAGCATTACGCGGAAATTCTTTAAGAATATTTGTCTTTCTGCACCACAACCGTAGTCAGATTTCGGAGTAACCGTTTGTTAAATCACCACCTGAATTGTAACCTGCACACATCATAATAATAAAGGAGTGAATAACTTTCATCGACATAAACGTTGCGTTCATCATCGTAGAAACCTCTTTGCGATTGGTACGTAGATCACGAACCGTGCCGCTGTTTCTACGCCGCAACTTTCCACTCGCACCGCCAGCCTCACCACACATCGCAAGCAACTCCACAAATCGATGGCGACAAACGTGGAGGAGTGAAAACACCAATTAACGCACACGTAGAGGTTCGTTCCCAGCCGCTAACAGCCACCGCACGGCCCGCGCCGCGCTTTGCTCGCAAGCCACAAGCACCGCCCACGCACCGCGACGCGCGCCGACTCTCCCGTCGCACGGCTGGGCGCTGTCTCCCGCTCTGGGCACGCGAGCACGGCATCGCCCCCGGGAGGTGAACCGGGTGCCTGGCGGCCGCGGGCGAGCCCCCGGCGGGAGCCAGTGCGGGCGCGCGCCCCTCCCCGCCCCCGCCCCGCGCCGAGGCCGCGCTGCCGCTCCCTGGCGACAAACAGCCGCGCTAACGCGCGCGACACATACAGATCGGCCGGGCGGGCGTCACGCGCGGCCGGCGACGGCTTGCGTCACGCCCCGGCGACAAACAGCCTGCGCGATCGGTCAACCGTCGCCCGCGAAGAGGTGCGGAGCGCCGCGGCGGCGGCGGACGGGCCTCGCCCCGCGGGGGCGGCTGCCTCAACGGCGGAGGCCGACTCGTTGCTATCGAAAGCGACTCCGCAAATAGCGAAGACGTAGCGTTATCAATGTGAACGGTTTAATACCCTAGGGTTCATCCCCGTCTGTCTAACGACCTGTTGTTAACGTTCTCCGAAAGAGATTAATAAGCCGCGCGTGGACACATGATTTCCATCTCGCTCGTATCAAAGGTCGTTTGTCAGAGTGTTCAGCCAGAGAAACCCTTGATGCACTCCCCTCTTGCGCCCTTGTGCTAACACTTTGCATATCGCGCAGATACCTGCAACAGGACTTTAGAAGAACCACTTGCCCTGCAATCTTATCGTCCAGCTGATTCGGGTTAATATTGTGGCCTGATAACGCTTAGTGTTTGCTTAGTATGCTTATTCACATCAGTGAGTACAAGAATCATTAAATTTGTGACGGAGCAATGCATTGATACAAAACTAATGGCTTAGCTTTGATTTTAGTAATCTAGAGATCCACGAAAACACTGTGGTATATTTTTAAACAGTATCATGTTTTAGAGATGAATAATTCATCTTTTAAAATTGTGTTCTTTTTATAAAATAATTTATTTTCCCTTTCGAGTGACTTATTAGTGATACATGAATTATTTTTATAGATTGTAACATCTTCCATTGGGCACGTAAGAAATTATATATGATGCCACAAAAGACATCGTGGAAAGAAAATATTAATGATGAAATTCAATAGGGTAAAGCTATTCACACATCAATATCGCAAGAAGGCAAATGACCAGAGGCAATTGTAAGCACACAGATGTAAAAGGTTTGGAGAAAGACATCAAAGAAAAATAATGCAGCTTAAGACACAGAGGATGGAACCGAAACAAATATTTCTAAGAAATATATTGAGATAACTGAGAAGATTGCCTTTCTTCGTGAAAAATAGATATTAAAATTTAATTTTGCATCTACTAGTTTCCGCGAGCTCAAGTAAAGTTATTTTAACGTTTACGAAACTAATCTATATTACAACCACTAGGATGTTCTATGTTCTGTATCTAATGGGTTACCGTCCTCTAATCGTAGTGAATTTTATTTATTTATCAGGGCGTGAATAATTCCAATTTTCTCCAAAATGAAATGTTTCTTTTATAAAAATTCATCACAATTTACTGCACACATGTTTTTCAGCTGGCCATAGCAAATTTTTACTTCTTCGTATGCGTACGAATTTAAGGAACAAAAAACATAGTATTGAAATATACCAAATAATTCAAGGGGAAATTTATCGTTAATTTGGTGATACAGTACAGCATTTAAAAATATTAGAACCCGCACGTGAAAATAAATTAGTAATATTACATATTTATAAATAGGGCATGTGGTGGTCATGTTTGTGTTGACGAAAATATATATGACCTTTGTGTGCACGAATACTCCATAAAGGGTTTTGTTTGCGGAGAGGTAGAATAATTATTGAGAAGTTACAAGTTTGATTGCTATTGAAAGACTGTTTAATTTTTGTTAAGAAAATATTTCGATTGATGCGGGAAGTAGGACGTTTAGTCAACATGAATAAAAAGTAGAAGCAGAAAAGTTCACCCGAGACATCCACAAATTTATGTGGTAATAGTTTGTGTCATCGTTAGTGTCACTAAGTTTAAGAATTTAGATTTTCAATAATTTCATTGTGTAATTAACTTTTTTGTTGTAGAATTTCATTAATTTTTTGTAACCATCAGAATGTGTGATTAATAATTGTATTGGGTGGGCAGCAATTGTAAGTTATCGAACTTCAAGAGAAAGAAATAAGAAAGATATAAGATTCCTAGAGGACTTTCAATATTCCACGCGATGGAATTTCTTCTCGACGTCATCGAGCTGAATCTCAACGAAATGTGAGCGCCACGGGAAAACGCTCAAAATCAAGTCAAAATCAAGCAAGGTTTGCGAAGAACATTTATTGAAATCTTTTAAAGGCCTTAATAAATTAAATAAATTGTTATAAATGTTCTATTAAAAAGGGCTGATTTATTTGATACTTAAATCCCGCAAAATAATCATTTTTCGATAGAATAAATTTTCGAAGTGTACCCGATCTGTACTAAATATGTCGTCGACTCACGTTAATATTATTCAAGAGCGTAATAACTTAAGGAGTCGTGCATCTTTAGTAATTATTCAAAAATAAAATATTATTGAGAAAATTAAATTGTTTAGAAGTCAGGGTGCGTTTCAATCGTATAGGGAAAGCTGCACTAGGCGCGTCGAACATGGAGCCACATTTAGCGAACGGTACAGAATAGAGGAGCAATGCATCCATTTCCATCGAGTTTGTTTGTAGGTGTTTACTTTCTCGTGTTCGCTTAAACACAGTATTTAAAAATAGAGAAATTTTAAGAATTGATGTGAGGAATTTTCCCTGTGGAAGCTCTAGTTTTGAAACAGTTTCCACTTTAGCTTTCCTTGCTGTAACGTACGCTAATTGTGTACTAGTCCCCTCCGTAATATGTTCCAATGAATACAGTAGAGGACGGATTTTTCTTTTTTTAGCGAATGTTTAATGTTTTCATTCGACTTCCAATAAATTTTGCTCGTAACATTAGAATCTGAAAAGACCCTATGCTGCAGGAGGAAACCCATTTAATTGAATGTGTATCTCTATACTACATCGGAAGCATACGCCAATATCATGCCTTCGAACATTTTTAAGACTGTAGAACCTGTATTTATGCAAATTTGATAAACAAAATCTGTACTTTGTACAAGGCCACTTCAAATCATTTCCAACAGACGTAAAACGATTCAAAAAAGGCTTGTTTGATGTTCAGGAGAAATGAAATAATCTGCTTAATAATATTCTATGTTTGCGTATCGTGGAGTTAACAATTAAATTTGCAGTCGTAATGTATAAAATAAAATATGCACTCCGAAATGTGCAAACAAATTTATTTTAATGCTATGAAAAAATTATAATACTCGTAGTATTTGTAGTTGAATACAATTTTTTGGGATTCCATTCCCTAACTTTATGTGGCAGCTAGTGGTCTGGTCGTGAATGGAGAAGCTGATTAATTATCTTTTACTAATGCATAACACATTGAAAATACCATTGAGTGTTTGTATATCCTGTTTTATAATAATGTTAGCTGTGTTTTGGTGATGCAAGAGTTTATTAAATATGCGCTAATTACGTGAATATGCTCATGGGCTTACTACATCACATTATGAACGTTGTTCCTCAGTGAGATGGTTCTTATCAGTAGGATAAAGTCACCTTGAGATGTCACGGGTGGTACCAATTACAGTGATTCAGGGAATCCCTTACAAGGTTTCAATTATTTCAATGGTCTCCTCAAATGCCCAATTAAATGCATTAGATTAGATCGTTCGGGTTTTTCTATTCAATGAACAACAATTCCCGTAAATCAGTATTGAACTTAGCAAATATTGAACGAATCTGGTTTGAAATTTTGCAACATTTAAGTGTTATTGTAGATTTCTTCGTTGAGTAGCCACTGTTATTCAGCTTGTGTAGAGGTACACATTATGTGTCTCGGATTATTGGCCTTTGGAAGCTGGAAAGTTAGGAAGTCACCGCTAGTGTAGCGCTTATAAATCTTTGGACGTTTTCAGCTTTCTATTATTGGAAATAACTCTGACAAACATTGTCCGAAGCATTTGTAATAAGCACAATCTGCTTTCACAAAACATTATTTTAAAATTAATTAAAAATAAACATACATTTATTCGTGAATATCTTAACGATGAAGGATTGAATCCTTACAGAAGAAAGTTATTTCCGTTACCCAATATGTAAATTCATTGTTTTAATTAGTGATGATTTTCAAAAGCTCTATTTTATTGCAGGGGATGTTTTGTCTTGAAAATATGAAATTGTGACGTCATGGATACTCACAGCGACCACAGACACAGAGCTTTCGTATAACAATATATTTATTCACAAAGAAAACAAAACAAATATATACACTTAATAATATACTTACACCCTAACTCTCATAGACATACTATCCCCTGATCGCGGGAGCGATCCAAACCCGATTGAAGATGGTTTTGATTGTGGCATTCGCCACTCCTACTTTTGAAGCGCGCACAAAGCCTAGCTTCCGTGACCGGATGTCACGCTGGGACACAAAGTCCGTTCTGGCGCACCAACGGCTGGATTGCCTCGATCGCAGGAGCGATCTTATCCGATTGAGAATCGGCGTGAATCGTGGCACTCAACCACTCTTCACCTCGGAGCACGCACACAGCATCGCTCCCCCGTGACCGCAGTCACCCAAGGACCTAAAGTCCGCAGGCTTCGTCAACTAGTGACTCGAGCCTCGCGAGCCTGGCTCGCATATGCACCGTCGTGGCGCCAAGTTTTGTGCACACGCACGAGGTTCTCCCACTGTCTCCAGAACCCACCCACTGGCTCTGTACCCTCTGTTATATAGGCGAGGCCCACGTGACCTACTACGTCACGCTACCCCCTCGCTTGTTATACCAGTGAAAAGTTTCTATAGGCCGGATACACCCAAAGCCTTGTGTCTCCCGTTTCCGCGTTCTGCCTTTTACGGAAAAACCCTACTTCCTGTGGCTAGGCTAATCCTCTTCCAAGCGTCCCCAAATAGATGCCACGAGGCTCGCTGGCTAATACGTTACAATATAAAAATTATAAAGATCTATTAAATAGTTTGCTATGACGTAAAATGAAGCACTAGA